TCTCTCTGTCTCTCTCTCTCTCTCTCTCTCGCTCTCTCTCTCTCTCTCTCTCTCTGTGTGTGTGTGTGTGTGTGTGTGTGTGTGTGTCCCAGTATAGTGTCCATGAAAGCCAGAGGGCATTAGATCCCTTGCAGGTGGAGTCACAAGCCAGTTGTGAGCTGCCCAGTGTGGCTCTGGAAACGGAGCTCTTAGCCACCCAGCCCCACTGGGGTTGACTTCATCTGCATGCTTGCATGACAAGCATTCCACCCACCGGGCCCCTGCACTGTCCAAGAGAGGCTGTCAGATCATCTAGTCCTCCTACCCTGGTCCTGGAATCATGTGTTACCTTCCCTCCAACTCCATCTCTGAGGTCTGAGAAGTCTCATAACATAATGGCCCAGGCTGGCCTGAAGTTTGTAAACCCTCCTGCTTTAGCCTGCCCCTGCCCCTGTACTGTACTGGGTTATAGGCATGGCACACCACTCCTGGCCAGTACCACCCTTGAGAGTTTCCCTTCTGAAACCATTCAAACATTAAAACCTTAAACAAATGGATCACTATCCCTTCTGGAATGCTAGCTAGCACACCCTCCAAATCATCGGATGTAGGCCATAAATACCAAAGTGCAAACATAGCAAGATGGACCTTTATTTTTACTACAGCAGGAAGGAGAAGAAAAAAGAAACCAAAAACTTAAGTTCTTGGTGCTGGAAGGCGCATTGCCCATGCAGCCCTGTGAAGCAGCTGGGAGTCCAGGCTGGACCCCTGAGAATGCCTTAGTGTGGCTGAGGACATCGGTGATATTCCGACCGAATGGAGGTGAAGGGACACACTCCAGGCGTGGCCTCAGCTGGGAGGAATTCAGGGTGTGCACACGGCAGGGCAAGCGTTCATGCCAAAGCCCACGTGACATCACTGGAGACCCTGGGCCTGTGGGGCTCATTTCTTCCTGCTTTTATGAACACACAAATAGGGTGTGTGTGTGTAATGTTCAAAGTGGGCACTGTAACGGACGACCCAGACACTCCCAACGAACTGGTGTATTCATTAAAACTCTTTTCCCTCAAACTAAGCCGCACAGGCGCCTGGAAGGATGTGTGTTCACTCTGGGGACAGCTGGCTATGGGTCCCTCACGTGGAGCCGCTCAAAGCTGAGGTAGACAGGAATGTATCCTCCTGGGAGATGAGTCACGCGTGACAGAAGGAACTGTTCCATCTGTAACTGAGGGGCTGGCACGGTGGGAATAAAAGGCGTTTTTCTTTTCCTATGCTAGAGAGGGAACCTAGGGTCTTTCAAACGCCAGACTCGAGCTCGACCCTGCATTGAGACCAGCAGAGGCTTCACCTACCCAAATTAGAACCACAGGGGCACACTTCTCTACTGAAGATGGCCCCGCACCCACCACACGTCTCTGCATCTGGGGCAGGTGTCTGAACTGTCCTCGGCTTTCCCATGGCCCTTTCCAGATCTCAGATTCCTATGCCTCTGATGCCCCTGCTTAGCACCCCACCGAGCCCCAGAATTTCAGCATGGGTGGAGTGAGCCCCAGACCTGTGCAGCTGCAATTCAATGTTCAAGCGTCGCCGCTGTAGGTGACAAGTGCTGTCAAGACATGACTTTATGGTGGCATTTGGGGACGTTAAGGCTTCCTGGTTTTACACAGAGAAATGTTCTAGGGCTCAGAGGCACCTCCTACTGCCACACCACACACAGGCTTCCTGTTTGCAGACACCAGCGCCCCCAAATCTGGCAGCTTCTAAGGACCTGAACCCATCCCTACCCGACCCAAACCACCCTGCACCCACCGTACCCCTCTTCTCAACAGTGCCCCCCCCCGCAGCCTGGGCCCACCCACCCCACTTTCTTAGCTCTATCCATTCCATCTCCACAGCTCTGTGAGCCTCAGAACCAGGCAGGGCAGGTGATGGGTGGTACCTGGTACACTGGTACTCCAGTACCCTGGGGGGGGGGGGTGGCTAAGGAAATGAGGACTGGGCCCTGGTCTGAAATGAGTGTCTTTATTGCTTGTACCGTACAAATATGACAAGTAAGGGAAGGCCAGTAGGGGTGGGAGAGAACTCTCAGATAAACATACACACATAAAAAGGAAAAAACAGACGACCCCCACATCATCCCTGCCCACCCCCACCCTACTGCCTTTTTGTAATGTATCTAGTCTGAGGGGTGGGGTGGGATAGGAAAACCAGGAAAACTCAATTCCAAACACCCAGAGATATTGGGGATGGGGCAACATGGCCAGAGCAGCAGGTGGACCGGCTGCACTCCATGGGACCAAACACTCCGGCTGGGGTTTCGGCTGAGCCTGCTCACTCACACCTGTGCTACTGCACACAGCTGAAGGCGCCTGCATCCCAGGAGCCTGAGATGCTCACCGCTAGAGCAGGGTGCACACGGCCACCCACAGCACGGACAGACTCGCACTCACACATTCGCCTTAAGGCTCCAGAGCAGGGGCCCTGGAGATGAGGTGGCCCCACCCCAATGTGTACCAGAGACACCTGTCCCCATCTGTGTCCCCTCTCAGGCCCCAGTCAAGTCCAAGGGGCCCAATACTGTCTCGGTGTGAGATGTGTAACAGCCAAGGTTGGCTTCCTTCTGCCCCAGGCAGAAAATGGAGCCTTCCAAAGGGGCTGGGGCCCATCGGGAGGCAAGGCTGGCTAGAAGGAAGCCCTGGTAAGGCACGAGGCTGTGGGCAGGGGGGCTGGCCCCCAAATATTCCTCCTGCTCTGTCCAGAATCAAGAGAGCAGCTTGGGAGGAAGAGGCAGGTTTAGGAGGCAGCTCCTGGTCCTGACCCCCCACCAAGATCCAAGGATTTGGCTCCATTTTCTATGGAGCCAAACCCAGATCCTTCAGCTTCCGAAGGCCTCTGCCCGCCCCTGGGCGCTGTTGCGTTTCTGCCCCAGGTGAGGCGGGAGCAGACAGACAGCCCAGTAACAGCATAGAAGGCACCTGGGGTGCTGGGGGTGGCAGGTTTCATCCAGATGTGGCCCCTGCTGGCTGGCCCTCAAGCCCAGGTGACCCCGTGGCTCCCACTTCCTCTTGGAGGCTGGTGGTCATTTATAGCCTCTCTCCATCCTCCCAACAGCCCATCCTTGGGCACTTTCCCAGCATGCATCTGGGAATAGAGGGGAGGCCGGAGGAGATGGCTGCCAGGGCACTAATCTGGGCAAGAACTGAAGAAGAAACTGGATATACAAGTGAGGGGGACAGGGAAGGGAACACAAACCAAAAGGCAAAATAAGGTTTTCTTTAAAAAGCCACCCAGGCAGTGGATGGCAGCCATGATTGTGTCCTGTGGTGGCAGAGGGCTGCTCACTCTCGGATGCTGGCTGAGTAGGAGAACTGGGGGAAGTGCGTCCGCTGGTCCAGTTCCAGCGAGCCCAGGCTGTCATCTGTAGGGTTGGGTGGAGACGCCATGGAGACAAGGGACCGTGGTCTTGCCCACCTCACCCCACTGGGAAGTGCACTGGGACTAGGGACTACAGAGAACACCGAGCCAGTAGTGGGGGCCCACAGCCCCAGCATCAAGGAAAACAGCTTACTTGTGGAGAGAGAGTTAGCCATGGCCTCCTCCCCAGGCTGGGTCTTCTGAAGATCCTTCCCCCTCCCCAACCCTCGCCACCACCAGGGTCTAGCTCACACTCCTCCCTGGTCTGTCCCCACCCATACTCACCTGCAGCCAGAGGACTGTCAACAGCCCTGGCACAATTCTGTGCCAGGCACAGAACCCTTATACAGGCTCCCATGCTAAAGGTCTCCACTTTCCCAGGTGACCTCCTACCTAACCCCATGTCCTCTTGCCTCTCCCAGGCCCCACCTGGCGGCCCACAGCCTGCCCTTCACTCCAGTGTACTCCCACTGTTGGCACCCACAGGCCACTTCTGCCCGGAGTGAATGTCCTCTGCCTTCCCTAGCCCTGGGATCCCAGGAAAGCTGAGGGCTGGGGGCTGTCCTGAGTACCCAGCCTTGGGGTGGCTTCAGATCAAGAACACAGTCAACAGAGTGCTCTAGCCCAAAGACCAGGACAGCCCCTGAACCCCAGAACATACTACAGCCATAGTTCCTGACAACCCTCAGGCCTTGTAAGCAGATCTCAGGGGAAACCCACAGGCCAGACTCAATAAAGGCAGCCGACCAAGGTCCTCCTGGCAAGCGGGATCCAGGGCAGACCCCCCTACTCAGCCACCAGCCAGGCCCAGGGGCAGTGGGGCCCCAGACACTCACAGCGGTCCGGGGGTGTGATTGTGATCGACTGGGCGGTGAACTCATCGTCGAAGTACCTTGTGTCCACTTCGGAAGTGACCTGAGGTTTGAAGGGTGGTAGGAGCTGTGGAGAGGAGGCTGGGGTCAGCATGACAGGTCACCTGCGGGCAGGTGAGACCCCTGGCGCAGGCAAGAGGGCTCACCTTTCTCTGTACCACATCCTGCCAGTTGATGCTGAGGAAGAACCTGTGCTCCATGACCTCCTTGGCATCACTGGGACCTCCGCCGAGCCTGCGCAGAGACAAACATTACCGACCACTCAGCGCCCACAATGGCACAGGCAGACACGATCCAGGGGCCAGGGCCCCCGTACAGCCTCTGACGATGCCGCCCTGCCACAAACCACTTTGCAGATGGGCCCTCAGCTTGAAGAGCTCACGGCTTGGGTCGGAGGCAGGGAGAAGGCAATCTGGGCCAAGGCAGCCACACAACTGGCCTCCCCTCTGTCCATAAAGAGGAGGCAGGGAAGCAGGGCAGGCTTAGAAGGTAGACCACACACTCACTGGCTCAGCCATATGCAGTCTGTGACCTTAGGCCAGCCAGAAGAAGCCTGTGTCCTGTGGCCCGTAAGACAGGCAGGAAATGCAGGGCAGGCTGCTGAGTGGGAATGCCTACTATGGAGCCCTGGGGCTGCTCAGGGGACCACACACTGCCAGGCCACACCTCTGCTTAGGGTCCTTCTTCAGCAGTCCAGCCAGCAGGGACTTGGCCTCCGGCCCAAGCGTCCGTGGGAAGCGGATCTCCTCCATGAGGATGAGCTCAAAGAGGCGCTCGTGATCCTGGTTGTAGAAGGGCAGGCGGCCACACATCATCTCGTACATGACCACGCCCAGCCCCCACCAGTCCACTGCACGTCCGTAGTCATTGTCCTCCAGCACCTGGAGGAGCAATAAGAGGCCAGGCAGGGAGGCTAGAGCGGCTCCACCCTCGGGGCTCCCTCCACCCTTGGCTTGCGCGCTCCCATGCCCCCGGCCCCAGACACCTCGGGTGCCAAGTACTCTGGGGTGCCGCAGAAGGTTTTCATGGTGGCCCCGTCACTGATGCCCTCTTTACACAAGCCAAAGTCAGTGATCTTGATGTGGCCGTCTTTGTCCAGCATAAGGTTTTCCAGCTGTTTAAAACAAACAAACAAACAAACAAGCCAACATATGAGGGACAGATCAGATCCTCCCAGGGTTTTCCCTCTAGGTTAGCGGTTCTCAGCCTGTGGACCAGCCTTTGGGGGTACAATGACCTCTGCACAGGGGTCACCTATGACCATCATAAAACACAGATCTTTACACTATGATTCGTAACCGCAGCAACACTGCAGTTATGAAGCAGCAGGGAAAATGTCTATCGATAGGAAGACTGAGAGCCACAGCTCTAGAGGTGCTGGCTTGGGGCGGAAGCTATCTCATCAGGGATTCCTGGAGGGCGAGACAGCCAACAGCACACGCACTGTGCTTTCAGTTTCTTTCCCGTTTGGAACACAGTCTTCTGTGTAGCCCTGGCTGGCCTGGAACTCACAGAGCTCTACCTGCCTCTGCTAGGATTAAAGGTGTGTGCCCCATGCCTGGCCTGGCCTTTAGTTTCTTAAGGTTCAATGTGAGAGTACTATGTTCTCAGAATTTGGTAATTTTCTGGAGACAGGGCAGCTCTGTAGCTTAAGCTAGCATTTATTTATTTATCTATTTATTTTGGTTTTTCGAGATAGGGTTTGGAGGTTAACCTGTATTGCTTTGGAGGTTGTCCTGGAACTTGCTCTATAAACCAGACTGGTCTCAAACTCACAGAGATCCGCCTGCCTCTGCCTCCTGAGTGCTGGGATTAAAGGCGTGCGCCACCAATGCCTGCCTCAAGCTAGCTTTTAACTCAAAGCAATCCTCCTGACTTAGCCTGAGTATTAAAATTACAGGCATGAGCCCAGATGTTTTTTTAGTCATAAAATACACACCAGAAGAGTATAAAGCCCAGAGCATACATGACACCTCAGTAAGGCCCTGCCATCTATAGGTCAGGCTCGGGCAGAACCGGAAGCCCAGTTATGAACCGCTCTTCTTGGTTTTCTCAGGACTGTGTGCCATACTGGGGTGCACGCCACATCGAGCAGACACTCTGCCCCCAAGCTTCACCCCGAGTCCACCCGTGAGGTCACCTTAACTGCTGCAGCCCCCAAGCTTCACCCCAAGTCCACCCGTGAGGTCACCTTATCTGCTGCAGCCCCTTCTTCGGGGTTGACCATGTGACGCAGCCACAGCCACTGCACAACCTGCCCTGCCACCTAGAGCTCCCCTGGAAAATGCCACTTGGTGCCCATTTTCTGGCAGCGGGTGCTATGGGCAGCATGAGCAGTGTGCTCTGAGTGTGTGCGCACCTTCCCCGGGAAGGACATGTCCGGTTTCTGGTGTGCATAAGGCCAGGGCAGATGGCTGGCAAGTAGT